AGCAGTTTGTATTATGTAGACTTGACTTCTTTCTTTCTTGTACCTCGTGTGCTTTCCATTTGTACCTATCCTGGGCAGAGTTACAAGATTATGCAAGTGGCAGCACAACTTTTCTTCACTCAACTGGTCTAACTGCAAATGACTGCATGAAATTAAAAGTCAGAAGAGTAAAACCATATATCACATTTTGTTCCCAGTCTTAAAGCTCTGAAGAATAAATAAAAATTATGTTTTCTAAAACCATGACTCTTATCTCAATGGCCCAAGATTAATTTCTGTGTTCTCTTCCTTCCTCCCCTACAGCTTTTTGGGCTCAACTGCCTGAAATGTTTCTTATCTCTCTTCCTAAAATGGGCCATATCTCCTTCCTGCCTCCTCTTTCTCACAAACATTTGCACAGCCATTCCTCTCCATAGCAAAAAGCCCAAGAGGGGTCTCCTCTCATGATGACTGGCAGAAGAATCAAGTTGTTACATTTCTGGTTTGAATTTACTGCTGACCCTGTTTTGACAATCTCTTGAGGTTCTCTGAGAGAATGATCCATGTGCTATGAGGGGAAGCCCCGAGACAGTGACCAGCCTGTCTGCAGGGAAGTGGTCACCTCACCTATTGTCTGCAATCGTGCTTTGGCATTTAATGAAAGTGTGCATCAGATCACTGCACACAGGAAGTGCAGGCATGGCATGGCATGGCTGCCTAAAATCTTTTTGGAAAGGCAATCGTGGCAGGCCTGAGAGAAATGTTGCCTCACACCTTGATCTTGCCAGTTCTTTACACACAGTGAGAGCTGCTTCCATTGCAGACCTGGGAGAGTCGCAAGATGGAAACACATACAAGACTTCTCTGAAGTCAGCTACGTGTGGATTGTATTGCAATACAAAAATCTGGGAGTTGTGCTGGGTGCTGCAGTATGCATACTAAGGAAGCCCACTTGTAAACACTCATAACGCCACTGCGTCCAGAGCAGAAAGGAACATGTGCACTGAAACCCTTTATGCCGTGGAAAGGAAAGGAACATAAACAACAGGCTCAGGGCTTGCTTTTGTACAGTTTAGAAGCAGACTTCCTGAATGATAAAGAAAACTGCTGTGGAGTTTACGGTTTTGTTCTGACCTACTCATACCTCCAGGTTCCCAGGAACTTCAGCGGTAATTTGCAGAAAGGACCAGATCCTCTGCCACCGCCCAGGTGGTCATATTGGCATTATGTTAATTAACACATTCGACATTGAGACATTTTTCAATTATCTCTTCTGCCAATGATATAAATACTAAGTCAGAAGTGGAAAGTCACAAAATTAGCTAGGTGGATCCCTTCATTTGAGTATGACCTGTGAATCCCACTCCTGTGAGAAAACACAATATTCTGTAGATGACTGAGAAATAAGGTTATATCAAGTAGTTTTTGTTAAAATCCTTTTAAACTACTGTTAAGATTTGAAACTGAGAAGCCCATTTATATTCATTTCATTTCACCCACTGCTAATTTTATTTATGCTGCAATACTTTCAAATAATATTTAACCAGCATGCAAGTAATAGATGCACAGATGTTAGGTAGGTGGAAGGATAATCTGTGACCCAGAGCAAGCTGTAAGCCAGCTCTACCAGTTATAAACAATGTTCTGTGTGTTACAAATCTTTGCCACTTCAAACTCTAGTTAACATGTATGCTGATTTAGCCCATAAACCAATTCCACCCTGAGACAAATGCATTTCCTTGGTTAAAGGGTTTCTTAAGGGAATATTTAATGTGTTGTATAACAGTAAAATTCTTTTACTTAGCAAATAATTCCAGATACCCAAAACTGTGTCAAAGCAAGGTTGTACTGGCAATCCCATATCTGCTTCATAGAAACCATATCTCTCTGTTTTTAACTAGATTTTTAGAAAGTAATAATAAGATATTGGAAATGTTCATAAAATAAAAATAGTCAAGCCCTTCTTGGAAAAAAGAAAAAGACTCTGTAGGTAGCTGGACATGTTTTCAGGTATGTGGATGTGTGCCATTTTTTCACAGGAACCAGGGAATGGAACAATGGAAGGGATCTCAAGACATTTTCTAGATTAGGTATTCCTAGACTGTGTGACACTTATCACAGGGGCTATACAAAATCATTTCTAGGATGTTCATGAAGGCAGCTCACCAATTTCTTGTGATAACCTATTTATGAAGACAGTTGCAAAAAGCACAGTAGAGCTTTCTCGGTGGTGAGAAATCAGAGAGAATGGCACTGGAATCTAACTTTCAATTGGGTGATAAGAGAAGGATAAAAGGCCAGAGGCAACTATCTTCCTCATGACACTATTGTGACACTAGCAAACTCTCCCAAAAATTTCTTGGGAGAGATTTTTTAAGAACTATTCTCTAACTAGTTCTTAGAAAAGCCAGTCAAAGTAACTGCTGTATTACTTTAACCTTTTTCTTTGCAGTGCCTTTCCTGATGATGCCTTATTCCTTAGGGCTTCATGTAGAAAAGTGTGAGGAAGGGGATTCAAACAGTTTTCTCCACCAACTGCTCTTTGATTTCATCAATTTCTGTGAGCCACAGAGTGTGGCTGGTTTGGTCTCTGTGCAGTGACAGAAATTGAGGTCTCCTGTTCAGCCCAAGTCATGGCTCTCTCCTGCTCGCCCTCCTCTTTGCCCCAGGTTCCTGTGGGCTCTGCTTCCATCCTGTCACTATAGGATTCAATGCCTATATTTCTCAGGACTGGAAAACTGGCTCAGGTCAGTGTGTTCCCCAGAGACCCCTCAATTTACATCTGTGCATAATGATATTTAAATACTTTCGTGTGAAACAGCATCTCTGTTCAGTGGTTCTGCTTGCAGAGCAGGTACCAGACAGCGTGACAAGCTTTGTGAAGTCTTTGCCATCGATGTGCAACAACAGCAGCAACCTCAGGCCTTAGAGGGTGTTTTGGGAAACTTCTGGTGTGTTACCTTTGGTCTCAGAAAGCTGTGAGCTGTGATGTATGTCCATGTATAGAGACGGGACCAACCACCATAAAGACAGACACATCAAGAGATCAAGTTGGTCAAACCAGATAAATTTTTTCTTAACCACCGTCTCTTCCTCATTCTATTCTTCTTGCATTTACAAACTTCTGATTTCCTTTTCTGTTATGTTAGTAACCATCTAAGTCTATATTTACTTTAGGAACCAAGTAGTGCCTTTTTCTTCCTTTAAAGAAAACTGGATTGATATTCAAGCCTAAGTCAGGGATTTTTCCTGAATTTATTTTCTTTCAGTGACTTTTAAATATAGGCCTCTGTCCTACTTCCTACTTTGTATCCCCTTTTCATTCTCCAATTCTGATGTTTCCAGTAATTTCTAATTTTTTGCCCTCTTAACATTTTGTGTTGAATTTATGCACACTGAACTGGATTCCATTGGCAGTCCAGCCACATTTCTTAACTACTTTTTGCAGACTGTGTGATATTAATTTATGAACCATAAGCTGAAAACTGTCACACTACCATCTTCTCTCTGTTTTGCTAACAGCAAAATTTGACTCATTTGCACCTAGATTGTGTGTATTGCAAAACAGCATGGGAGCAGAGCTTGTCAGAAAATGCTTGGGGAATCCAGTAATCATATGGAATGGTCTTATTTAAAAAAAAAAAAAAAAAAGCTGTTTCTCATCAGTTTTGGTGCTGTGAAGGTCCTACCCAATTTACGCTGTGCACCCATTATTTTATTCAGACCCACACATTTTCAAAAAGCCCTATTCACAGAAATCCAGAGATGGGAATGCAGAGGTTAGTGCTGGTGCTCCTTGGGATGGAGAGAGGTCAGGGGCAGATCTCTCCATGAGTCAGCCTGCTGGAAATGACAACCAAGCTATTGCCTTGTTCTTCCCATGACACAGCAATCTTGGAGGCAGAAAAGCCAGCATCACTCACAAGCCTGTGTTCACTGTGCCCATCCTCAAGTGGCTGGTGGAGATGAGATTGCTAAACTCAGCAACTGTCTGCTTTTTATCTGCCAAGTGGAAATGGACCCAATTGCTTTTGTGCAGGCAGGTTTTACCTTGACTGTGTCCCTTTAAATCACAGCATGTGCAATTCAGTAAGAACAAAGTATAAGTACAATGAAAGCCGGGAGCTCCTTTCAATATGGAAATGTTTCCCCAAGTGACTCAAATTAAATTTCATAAGAAGAAATCCATAGTTCCATGAAATTTATAGATGCATTATAAAAAAGAAGTATATTGCAGTCTACTTGATTTACTGTTGATTCTTTGGGCAGCACTCAGCAGAGTAAAGGAGGAATGTGATTTGGAAATGCACTGGAGGGGATTCAGCAGTATGCTGGCAGCATCAAGTTTCATCCAATTCGAGGGGACTTTCACTCTGCTTGGATACTGTAACTAACTGGGTTTACTATCAAATTACATTTTGCTGGGTCTCCTGTAAATCTGAGAACTAATGAAAATAAATGCAAATATAGTGACTTTTGCCTCATTTGCGCTCCCATTGAGCCTTCAGCTATTCTGACATAATTTGTTTCTCTTTTACCGTCTCTGTTTTTTATGGGTTGTGTATGGAGACCAAAGCTTCTGTTCTGCAGGAGGACACACAGAGAAACAGTCCATTGGGGAGTAATCCGAAAAGCGCCATGAGTTGGATTTGAAATTAAGCCTTTTGTCTGTGATCAGTTACTGCGTCTTCGCATGCACGTAGGTGAAGCTGACCTTAGGTGTTAGGTCTAAAGAAAGGCTGTGGAAGGTTTGGGGGTATCTGAGCCTTTTGTCAACACCTTGCATTTGAAACCAGGACACCCCCACCTTGGAGTTACAATAGGTTTGCATGTCCTGTGTGCTGGGCACAGCATGGGATGCTGGCACGAGCAGGTTACATAGTAGGTGTTGCTGCCCCATATAGCATAAACTGGATAAGTGGGAGTCTGGGTGACTCTTCCTGCCTACTCTGGTGGACTCATTCAGGAAGAAAAAAAACAAACAACAAAACCCCCTTTTCTCCTTCCCAAGAATAACTCACCTTCCATCAGGTACCAGGAGAGAGCCAAAGGAGTCTGACTCTAGTGGTCACACACAAACAGGCTTGCTTAACGTAATGTGCAAAAAACTTGCAAAAACAAACCCTGAAGCCTGTGGCAGAGGTATCAGTAAGCAGACACTTGAAAAGGCTGAGTGCTTGTTAATATTTAACAAGCAAGTCCTCATCTGACTCAGTGGCGTTGTGCTTTGTTTATCTAATCCCTAAATTCTCCAAGGGAAAAAACCCTCTCTTTATTAGCCTATGACAAATAAGTAAAGAGGAGGACCTGGAAGAATCTCACTGAATTTTCTATTTAATAGTAAAGCAGCCTGTGTTGCACAGTCTTCCCTTTATGAGATGAAGCAATATTTTAGATTGATTTAAGCAAATCTTCTTCCCTCAAACAGGATGGTAAAAGAGGTAATATTTGCCTACCCTGAAGTTTGCAAATGGATTTCAGAACTGTCTTCAAATTACCTTTTCTGCCAGACTCATTTGTGGTGGAACTTAGGAACAAGTGAGAAGGCAATGTTTTGAGCCAGACTTAGTTTAATTTTAGACAGAGACTCATAGTTCAAATCTAAGGCCAAACTATGCCTTAAGGGAATATAGCTGTTGGAAATGTGTAGCTTTTCTAGCTACTTTTCAATAACCAGACTTCTAGTCTGTGGAAAATATAGGTTTATCCATTCTCCTGAAAATAATTTTTGTGGAATTTTATGGATTTGTTCTACCAATTTAAGCATCTGGGCAAAGGTACTCTCAGTGTAGGATGACACCAAATCCTTGCTGACCAAGGAAGTTCTTTCAAGCTGAGTTAGACAATGAGTCTCAACCAAGTCTACTGGAGTAGGATCCAAAGTGTCTTATTTGGGGCCCAGGTTTTAGGATTTATTTGAAGTCTCGTTTTCATGGCCCAGCTCAGGCAGAGTGAGCATCACAGCTGATCATAGCTCTGTTTCATAAAACCCATGTCAAAAGTGGGACCACAAATGGTCTTGCTTGGAAGCAGTCTGTGCTGTGGGACACATTCCCCTTTGAAGCAGGATGGAACATAGATTCTCCCTCCTGTCAGAGGGACAATCCTCCATTCCTGATATCTGTTCTAATGGGGTTTATAAGAGCCGTTGTACTTAGTGAAGTCAGGAGTGCTATTTTTGGACTATGGTACCTGTAATTTGGTCATATTGATCATCATAACTGGTCTACTCTGGCTTCCAATCAGGAGGCCTGGAGACACACCATCTATAACGCAGCTGATGCCTTTGAGAAAGCACGCAGGATCACTCTTGAGGAGAAAAGACAACGCAGAAAGATTTGTGCCTTGCAGAATATACCACCTAAGGAGTCTTTCTGCTGTGCCTTTTGCAGTCAGACGTGCCTATCTCGTATTGGCCTTTTTAGCCACCAGTTTGTAACAAAGGTGGGTAGAGCCTTTCCCAAATCTTCGTTTTCAAAGCCTAGCCATGATGATGATGATGATGATGATGATGATGATGATGATGATGATGATGACCTGTAATTCTGCTATGTTTCTTTAATACAGAACAGTCATTTCCTTTAAAAGTCCATTCATGGGTTTACAGTCTCACTGCCTATCCACACTTCAGCTAACAGTTTTGTTTTTTTCTTTGTATTCTGACTTTCATCTTTCCTGGTTGCCATGGTGATAGCAATACAAACATCTCCAAAGGATGAGCTGCTTCCCTTGGAAGAAGAATGGCTTACTGTACACATCAGGACTGCAGAAATGTTTAATGAAATTTTGACCACATGGTAAGCTAGTTTGGTGGATCATAAAGCGGAAATCACCATCTGGGTCTAAGGTCGTGTCAGTTACACTGACATTTTATTTTATTCTCTTCCATTCTGAAGACTACATTTTGTTTCTTGTTCAGGCCAACAGGGTTATAAGTTACAAAGATTATCTGGCAATCTAAAGAGCTATTTATAGATTAAATAGAAAATTTACTGCCAAAAGAAGTTTCTCCTCAGATTCAGATCTAGATCAGCTTGATTATATTCTTTAAGAAACATATTTCAGTCCTATATCCTCCTGTTCATGGTGTTTTTTATGTAAGAGATTGAACAAAACATCTCATCCCCTCCACAGAGGACAAAGAGTTGTCAGCACACACCACAAATGCAGTTCTACATCTGATGAAACTGGGAGAAACTGCAAATAACTTGATCAAAGTGTATATAGGAAATGAGTGCCAGAACCCAAAATGGTCCCCTGCATGGGCTGCATGGCATCTGGTCCAGTACTCAGACTGCATGAACACAACTCTCTTTAGCAAATGTGTCATACAGAGTGTTGGTCTCCAAAGCAGCTCTAATATGACCAACAAAGAGCTTGCAATGTTCCTGACTGGGAATAGCATCCCAGTAGTGGATGTGTGGTACAGGATGGTACGTAGCAACCTTCCCACCACTGAGTGTCTGCAAGGTTAAAAAATCTCAAACTGTTCTTCAGGGTGGGCTTCTTCTGAGCTTCTGCATTACACTCCTGTGGGAGGGAATTCTTGGAGTACAGTTGAACCTGGAAAAAACCAAAACAGTTTATTGCAAAAAAATATTCAGTTTGGAGTCGGAAGAAAAATCCTTGCAACACAAAGACATGTGGCCTCACCCACTGTAGTCTAGAGATGAACCCAGGGTGGTATTTCTTCTCTTTTTCAACGTGCAAAGATTTAAAGCAATATGCTTTCAAATACCTCTAGCTTCAGTCTCACCTCCTCCCATTCCTGCCCTGTATTCTGGAACTGTAACTGGTGACAAAGACTCGAAAGGAAAACAGAAAGAACAATATTATGCGCATTTGGAAAATGTAGGAATAAATGTTGTTTTAGGGAATCACTTGAGTGACACAATGGAAAAAAGGTCCAGGGTTGTGTGTTCCTGCACTATCTGCCTCCACCCCCAGTGCAAAGGCCCCTGGGCTTCCAATGGAATTAAGTCTACACTTCACGTTGCACAAGTGGTACAGGTCTTGAAGAGATCTTTCTTAACCATGAATATGTCCCAAATCAGCTGTTGCTGTTTAGCAGGAGAGAATTAAGCTTGTCTTGTGACAAATTTGGCAGTAAATATTCTTCATCTATCTTTACTGTTATGATTTATAATTTTATAGTAAATTTAATAGTATTGAATATCATATCAAAGAGAGAAAACATTTTTGGACATATGTGCATGCAACCATAAACTGCATATCATTAATATATTTACTGCCTGTATTACTTTGAGGTAAATATATAGGGTAAAAATGAACATACTATTCAAAGGTTTAAGATGTTTCGAAAATAACTCAAAAAAGATTTCAGTTTTGCATTGAAGTACTTTCAAATTTCCTTGTGAAATTTCATTTGTGAAAATGACAGTTAGAAGACAGCTTTTTTTAATTTACTTGGCAAAAAATTTTAATAGCAGCAGCTGTCCAAACATGCTGCAAAACACCCTTACACAAATATACAACACCTACTGAGGCAACTAAACTTTTGAATTGGTATTTTGTTTACAAGCAAATGCAGTTACTCTTGTGCTCCCATCACATACTGCCTTTTGCAGATGGTTGTGAGTTTTTCTGTTTGAAAGAGTCTGGGGAGTTTCTAAGGGGGAAAATGTCAAGACTGAAGTAGAAAAGGGAAAAACTGATGTGCCAGTGCTCGACACAGCCATTTTGAATTACTGTGACTTCACTGCTTTTCAAAGATCCACTGATACAGAGTGCATGGCAGTTCAGGATGGAGAAGTTACTCTGATTTTGTATGCATGTGCGTGTTTGAGAGTTGTATTACAGCAGTACAGCTGGTCACTGTTCCCAGTTTAACCACACCCAAGGCCACCTTCACCATCAATCTCTGCCCATTGCTCCTCATCAGTTCTCAAACCCAGAAAGGAGTACTCCATGTCCCTGGGCATCACAGTGGCGAAGCAGTGAGAGAGCCCTGCATGGGAGTTCTTGCTGCATGCTTATTCCTCATACAGAGCACATTTTTTCTTTTTCTGGCCAGGTCTCCTTTGCCACAATAACCACTAATTTCAGGGAGGTAAGCAGGTGCCAAGCCGTTGTCACCCTGTCTTTGATGGGCTCCTCCTTGATGGACTCCTTACCCTTAGCTTTCCTAATGGGGAACACAAGGTACTGGCATACTTTGAGGATAACTAACTCCAATGTTATCTAGATCTGTTTATGAGTTTTGCATCTTTATGAGCCTTCCAGGACAAAAAGGATCTTTATTTAATCAGTGCTTGAAAAAATCTTGTGAGGTACTGGATGTAAATGAGTTGTCGGTATATTCTGCTCTTCACACTGCTGCTGGGACATATTGAAGCAAGTCAGACCGTCATCATCTCAGGACTAGTGGAGTACCCAGGCGGTCTAGAAAGGGCTCCAGACTGTTCTGAGAAATTGGCTCTGAGAATAAGCTAGTTTTAACAGATATGGCTGATTAAAATATTCACATATTCACATTTCTGTCTCTTACACAAATGCTGGATTCAGTAGAATCTCTTTCAGGTCTTAAAACTTCATCTCAGTAAGATGCACAAACCTCATGGGGACACTTTGTACCTGCTGGGGTAAGCAGGTACATGAGTAACACCAGCCATACTGCAAATAAGCACCATGCAAAAGTCCCTGCTGCTACTCTGGTGCTGTTATTGGATCCTTTAATTCTTATGATGTCTTTACTATCCAGTCATACCATACATCTTCTTTACTTTTTATCTGTACCACGCAAACTCTTTGCTATCCAACCATATCATGTAATATCTCTGCTGGTCTAGTCCAGGTTCTTGATAACTGCTGTACTCAGGAATCTCACAAAGCTGAGAAGAGCTTCAGACAAGTCTGAGAGCCAAGTGGCTCCCCTTAGAGTGGAATGGATGGAAAGGGACAGAGTGATTCTCTCCTTTCACAGATAAAACCCCTGGGCTTCCATGGTGTGACCCTTTCGCAGCAGTGCTCCAGTGCTCCCCCTCTCATACAACAGCACTTGTGTCTCCCAGCTGGAAATGGTCTGTCTCTCACAGACCCTTGTACAATGCTGTGGGGAATCACTCAAAGTCTCTTTCTATGAGGACTAGCTGTTGGAAAGCTACTCCTGTGCAG